TGGGCTCTTAATTTCATTTCATTGAATTTAATTATATAACTCAGACGATTTTGATTTCCAATATTGGAACAGTCGTAAGTAAGTAATAGACTACTAATAAGTTCGTGAATAAACGGGCCGATGTTTTCGCACTGAACTTTAGTAATTAATCGAGCGCGGCGAAAGAACGGGTTAGAAGTAGGTGGCTAAAAGCGATCGCCACCGTTCCAACAAACTCTCTTCGTCCACCCATTTCTCACTCCACCAACCCTTTCCCACCGAGTTTTCTCTTGCAGTATTTCATCTCACTTTTTCCTTACTTCCGCTTATCCACCACGTGCGTGGTTCTCGTATATATTAAATTACGTTCACATACTTCAACAAGAAATTTAACATAACACAAAAAGTCTTAATTACAACAATGAAAGGTTTCAAGAATAACTAATTTTTCAAATGATACCAATTTATTTCTTTCGCAATAAAACGAGCAGGAGGGAATGGCTCCTTAATATTCGTTTTGTGTATTTACACAAACGTTTGCGTAAAAAGTAATTGCATTCTATTTTCTGTCGATAGCTTTTCCCAGGCGGAGAAAGATTTTTAGATGCGTAGATTTAAAAAAGTTCTCATCGTCGAAATGGAGAAAATTCCGCACTTTTCGCGGGCCATATACGTGAGAGCCTGAGTCAGCGGGAGCAAGTTCCGAGGACATTTAAATTTATTTGAGGATAGCGTCGCCAAACGGTGTGGTCGCAGAAAATAACATGAAAAACGAATCGAGCGCGGTAGAGACCGACTTCTTCATTTCTCGTCACAGAGAGTAGGAAAATGATTTTTTTTTTATTTCTCATCACAAAGCACGCGACTGCAAAGTCGAGTTTATCTTCTTAAGTTTGCACACTTGATTTAATTAAATAAATCATCCGACATAATATAATCTATTTTCTTCGAACGGCGATCTGAGTCACAATTGTCGATTCTTGTAATTGCGATGAGACTCTACTTGTCAGCTAGTATAGAATGAGTGAGAAATGAGCAGTTCGTCTTACAACTGGAGAATAATGTGATCTTAAAGTAAGTGAAAAGAGTGACAACATTCTTTTCTCTTACGGAACGTCGTTTTCGAGAAAGTTGAATTTAAAAATTTGTTTAGTATATGTCATCTAGCGGTTAAAACCTCCTATATTTATTATTTCTAATAATTATAATCATATCCTTGTGTTAATCGTATTAATTATAAGTAGGTTTATATAAATTATCTGATACTGATAATTGCTCTAATATGAGACTACATTTCATCCAGCATATTCTCTGAATTACTTTATAAAAAACGAGCATAAGCAAAATTTATTTTAGTACATAATTATTTTTTATTGTTAATGTTTGTTATTTTGTACAACGTACGTATAGTAATATGATTGGATTAGAAGATATCGGTTTCTACGAGTTATTTGCTCTTTATTACGTTAAAAATCGCTGATACGAAAGAAGAAAAAGTAACGTTCAACTGATGCTTGCTCTCTCTATATTATTGGTTACTTGATAATTGGAAAATCGTTCTCTTCGTGTATTTACTTACAGCAGAAATATCGACCAATTGTCGAAAGAGTTCTTCATATTAGAAGTTTTTTATTCGCAATTCATTACCATTATTAATAGAATTGAGAGGAATTATTTTATAATTACAATTAAATAATTAATAATTATAATCATATCCCTTTTCTTTCTCTCTTTTTCGAACTAACAAAGGCACAAACTTTTTGTAAATTCGTGATAGAAATAAATAATTCGATAGACTTAATAAACCAAAGCACAAAAGAAAGTATTGTTATTAAAGAATTATTCTAGAAAGATAACTGTTTAGTAAAGAACGAGAGACTACTTGAATTTCATTGTGATCGTCATCGGTTTATTAACGGATTAACATTATGGTAACACAATTTGCGCAATTTATGAATAATTTGATAAAATTCAACCAACATATTTACACCTACGAATCACGTGGAATGAAATCCAATCGATTATTTGTATCGTAACGACTGCTCGTGGGTAGCAACTACGTTTGCAGAAAGAACGTACTTATATTTGCGCCCATTACAGCTCGAGCCGTATCTCCGTGTGCGTTTTTGTAATAAGATTTATCGGGCTGTAGGCAGCGCCGTGGATGTATCTCGCGCGGTCTGCTTTTGGTTAATAACACAGCAGGTCGGGATGGAGCGGCAGATACAAATTGCGAGCAGCGCCGGCGAGCGGACGCGCGAACTCGCGAACTCGCGCGCGAACAATGGAGGGAACGATCGCCGCGTCGGCGATTGTGTGTCGGGCGCTTTGGAAAAATGTAAACGCGGAACGTTCCGCCGGGCTTGGGGAGTTCAAATGGTACGGCAACGGACTGACGTTGACAAGTTTGCGATCGATAATCCTATAAATCCGCCGTCTCCGCCTCCTTCTCATTCAAGCGGAAATAAATCGATGCATCGCTGCCACGCGCTCCAGTCTCTTCGCTAATCATCGTCCGTTTCCCCTTCTCCGAAACTTTAGTTTCGGAAAGACTTTTCGGGTGCAAAATGTTTTTCGAAATCCTGATCCCGCTGTACGCTTTCACTTTTCATCATCGGATAAAATCCGATGAAATTTAATAAAAAAAATACCTCCCTCGGAAAGAATTTCTAATAACGAGATAAAAAACATTCATATTTGATCTTATCGCGATTTTTTTATATGCAATATAAAAATAAAACTATATTAAAGTTAAATCGATATTTTCTATTTTTCCCCTTCAAATTAAATAACGTTGACTTATTTGTCTTGAGACAAGAGTAATTTATTTTATATATTCTTGCGTTTAGAATAAATCTTTATCTGATAGTCTAACGCAAAATGCTGATACTATAGTATTTGGCACAAAACAGATCGTGTTTGATTAATTTATTTTAGATTTAAGAATTTTCCATTTTTAAGAGTAAAATATTCTTCTTCCAACAAATATAATTGTCCCTATATCGATTCTATTTTAATATTAGAATCAGAAATCTTTTCCGTGGGTGTACTTTCATTTGACAGAGAGGTTTATAATTTGAATATATGATACATACGTATATATTTTTTCATCGACCATTCACTAATGCAAGTACCTCGCTTGTGTTCCCGCGTGAAAGACATGAAATCCGGGGGCGATTGATGAGAGCTTAATTAAGGTAACAAACCACGCGAGTCATCGTCTAATTAATACACGGGGATTTCTTTCTCGGATCGATTTTTATCGTTTGAAAGTTACCGGTGACAAAAAGCCGACGAATAGCGACGTGGGATCCTCGATCCTTATCACCGGATGGTTATTAAGTCGTTCCGCGTCGGCGTGCGGAAGAGGAGCATCCGCGAGGAGAGCTGTAACGGGGATTACGAGCTTGATACCAGTACCGCTCCATCTTAATAGCTTCATTCGATCGCGAAGGACCCAAGAGGTAATTGATGGCTCTTCATTGTGTCCTGCCGCGAGAGCAGCGCGGCAATATAAGGGCCAACCGTCCCTCTCTTTGGCTGGGAAATTACCCTCTTGTGCGTTATTAATGGTTTCGTAAGCGCCATTCTCTGGTCAATAAGTAAGCGGCAAGCAAAACTCTTGTCACGTACGGTGTTGGGTGTATTATGCTTCTTTCATACGCGTGTCGTACGTAGTTTCGGCAACATCATCGGCGAATAAGCAATTAAACCGTCTCGATATTTCTCGTCGTTACGCGCGAGATTCCTACCGTTCATTCTCCCGAGTTTCGACAGCAGCAAATGTACTTGATGTATTAGATTTTTCCAGTTTTTAAGTTACAAATGTTTTATTTACTTCTGGATCTTTATTTACTGTTGGAAAATTCGTATTAAATTTAATACATTTTACGTGTCCCAAACGGTCCACTCAAATGCGTTAATTTAACGTTAGATGAATACGTTAAAAAGTAACACAAGTATCATTTAAGAAGATAAACATAAAAAAGTAATATACTGATATAATTCGTAAATTAACCGTGGAGGTATATTTTTTTAAATAAAATTGACATTTATGATATGTTAAATTGACACATTTTAAATTATTCATTCAGCTTAGAATTTATTTTTTAAGATACATTATTTTTGTATTATTTATTTACTTACTCATAAATTGTGTCATTTTGAACGTTGAATATAAACACAAACAAATTTAACACAAACTGTTTAAATAACAGAGTCACATTATGTTCAATTAACACTCGAATATGATAAAAAATTCAACTGAAAATGTTAACAAGGACTTGAGTGGATCATTTCCAACACAAATACGAAATGTTTTTTTTATCGTGTAGACGTGAAATGTTATTTTGGTTTTGTCAAATCAGGACTCTTGCTCTTAAAAGCGTATTTCAATTCGACATAATATCACAGTGATTCTCTTCGACGTAATATAGCGATCACTTATATGGTACGATAGAAGGGTGAATCGAGGTTCAATCTTCTCCTTTGACAAAGAAATATTCTGCGCGTCTCCACGTCCCTCCCTCGCGAAAGCTCGTAAAGATCGACGCGATTTTCGCTCACAGCGGGATTTTATCACGGTTTCTACACCGATCATCCGTTTTTCTCAACAGACATCGTACCTCGTCGCCACCCTTCGGAAACAGACGAAGACAAAGCATCGCGACATAAATAATTTATCTTGGAGGCGGTACCGCGGCGTGACGCAACGCGGCAACGTCGACGGTGTGCGTTGCATTAAATATGAAATCCAATATAAACTTTCGAGCGATATAAACTCGGAGTACCACCTGGCCGCTATTACCTGGTCGCGTCTACGTTCTCCCGCAAACCTTCTAATCCTTTAATCACTTCCCGGTTATTTTTCTAACGTTAAATGGTTCATTCGAATATATTGATCTGAACTTCCAGCTTTGATTTTATTTTATCGTATTTAGAGTTTAATTGAATAAGTTACAAGACGTATGGTTTACGCGCAACTTGACGTGAAACTCATCTTGCTATTTTTTTCTCTTCAGGATGCAGAGACAAAGCCGGCGTAGCTCGGAGGTGGAGGTTGCGCTTATGCGCCCTGTAAGCACAGCTGGCTAATAGCCTCGAAGCCCGTCCCCGACACCCTGCAGCCACACCAGGTAGGAATCTTTCGTTTACCTTGTGTATACACGTACATATACTTCACGTTGCGCAGATAGTCCGCCGTCCGCTTCTCGTGTTTTACTGCACAAAATCAGGATCGCCGCCGTGTTCTCCCGAGCATGAAAATACCCATGCTGTGCACGCCCTTACACGCGAGGCGGTAATTAGTCGTTAATCCTTTCGCCCGAGAGAGATTAAGGATCGTTCGTCGAAGCAAAATGACTTGCGTCAGATGTCTGTGAATTTGAAATTATCTATATTCGTTAATAACATCTTGTACGCATAATTCAATCGTTACTTATGAGTGCTAATACACGATGCTGAATATTTTAAAAGTATATGTATTTGTAAAGTACTTTCAAAAATGTTTTTCGTTGATCCGGAACACTTTATTCGCGAAAAATTATCAAAGCGTGGGAATATAACATATATACATATATATTTTTTTTTCCTTAATTGTTTTTTTTTTAAATCATGGACTATAGCAATAAATGTATAATTATTATCACTTATTGTTTGTATCATTACGAAAGAAATTTCGAAAGTGCCACACGGCGCGATAATGGAGAGAATACAAATAGGTTTGTTTACATTAGAATTTCGTTTGGTTAGCAATGAGGACACTTTCCTTGAGCTTTCACAGTTTGATTGTACCAGTGCCAATTGCGACAAACTTTTCTCTGTCTCTTTCTATATATATATATATATATATACATGCAACGAAATTAACATTTCCAGTTGACAAACTATAAACTATTCAAGATGATAAAAAAAAAGTTATATAAAAATAAATTTTTTAATGCATATTTGTATTTAACATTATGAAACTTGAATTATCTCACTATTTGTCAGATGCAAAGTTATTTATTAACATGTATTAAAAATTATTCTCTTTTTAAAGAATATATATAGTTCGAAAAGTACTTTTATATTAACTTTTTATATTTATTCTTGCCTCGAATGTATTTGCATCTAAAAGAGCATAATGTTTACTACACATTTATCATTTTTTCGTTTAAACCAACGCGTGTTTGGAACACGAACGATCGCATTATACACAACTATATTGCCCGAGAGGGATCATGAATCGAGGCGAAGATAAAAGATATATAAGGAAAGAGATAAAGAGAGAAAAAAAAAAGACGCGGCAAAACGGGATTCGCCGTCTTCTTTTGTGAGCACGCAGCCATGTATATATCTTGAAACTATGCGCGCGTAAATTGCATAATGCAAATCAGCGTCGTTCCGGCCGAAAGCTCCGCGGGGGTAAAAGAGATCCATCAAAATTCATGGCTGCCGCCGGTGGATAGCGGAGCTTTCTCGTGTAAGCGCAACAAACCGTTTCTTCCAACTGCATTTTTCGGCGAGCTCCGCAGCCCGGATCGCCGCGCTGGGAATTCCTGGCATCGAATGGACCGAGGCATCTCTCCTCGCGCCCATTCCTCGTTGTATTCTCCCTGGGAAACAAAGTTTTATCCGTCGTCGCCGTGCTTGCGTTCGCACGCGTCCGGAGATGCCATTTCTCTCGATCTACGCTTTTCTTCTTTGTCACCGCGCGGAGAAGCGCAGCGGGTGAGATGCATTTATTCATGTTTCGTCGCTTCTCCTTCATCGTGCTTCAAGGCACGCTATCACGAGGACCATAAATGCTTTGCGCTTTTCTCGTGTATTTCTCATGTATTTCGCTCGTTCGCGAGCAAGTGCTTGCTCATGTTCGTGGTTAAACAAATCTGATCGCTTTATGATCCGCCAGTAGACGGGTATTTTCCGCTTTCGATCGATGAATGTACCACGTGCGTTACGACTACCATACGCAAAATCCACTGTAATTCGGTGTAATTTATTCTGGCGTAATTTATTTCGGCTATACGTATAGTACGATTAGTGTAATCTTTTCTGCGGGACGCTCGACGTAACGTAAATGAACGTATTTTATTTAAGGCAAATAAACAGGTTTATTGTTGTACATAAAAGCACAGACCTGTGTACGTTTCAATCGATGAATGCTGCCGATGCGCTGTTTAATAGAAATGTTCTTTATATGGGGAAATTTAAATGGATCCCTTTCATGAGATTAATTTGAATTTTGTAAATTTTACCAATGGGAGATATTTGCGTTTTTTTTTCTTTTTAACGAAACGCAGAAAGAATTTTAGCACAAATGCGTTAGAATTTCTGCCGTTTATTTTCACTAATTTTCACTGCTGAACAACTCGCCGATCCGCTTCCTTCCTTTGTCGGCTAAGAATTCGTCTAGGACTTTCGAAATTGCGTCGTCGATGAAAGATCAACCAAGTTTTCTTGCATGGCGTCTTTTTTCATTTTCTCGATGCGATCCACCGCGCGAAATTGTTCAGGAAAACTTCAGCAATAAGTCGGGACTGCGAATCGATTCTTTCCTATTGCACTCCTGTCTCAAATGCACGTGCCAACCCGCTCACATATGTCCAAATATTGGATGAATCACTTCTAGAAAATTGCAGTGCGCATTTGGAATGAGAATAAAATTCGTCTTTGGCGAAATATCTATACTGTCACTAATAGCGAATAGAAATTGAATAATTAATATATCAATAATTAAACGTAAAAAATATAACGTAGAAAATACATTTCATCATATTTAGAATAAAAATGAGGGATATATCTTTGGCACGATATATTACTATCTTGGGATTGATATTTTTATTAAAATAATAAAAATAATAGTAATATTAATTAGATGACATGAAAAATATATTTTGCAAAATTATGAAAGTGAATTAACTTCTGCACAATGCCATCTGACACAATAATATAATACTTAAATACCGGTATTCATAGTTGACTCTTATATTTGAGACTATTTTAAATACAGTCTTAAAATATCATAAGCCAACCAGAAGACAGTTAGTAATCTTAAAGTATTAATTATTATACTTAAGATGATTTTAAAACAAGAACAGACTATGAATATATATATCGCCCTAAGATTATTAATCAATAATTTATTAATATTTTAAGTAATATAGGGAGAAATATCACATAGAACCTTCTCCTTGTATCAATGTCGTTGTATCGAAAGAGATGGACTATACAGATTTTATAAAAGTATTCACTTCGGTCGCGTTCGATAATCGCGCGCGAATGTATCGGGGACGTATCCCATTTCGCCAGAAATCTTCGATAAACACGTTCACCGTGCGCGTGAAACGGCAGTATCGAGTATCGGGGCGACCTTAGGATTTCGCGTAAGAGAAGCCCGACGATTTCGAGCTTGAGAGAGGCCGATGGCGAGCGAATGAAGGAGACAGTAAATTGTGTAGGCGGAGCGAGCGATTCCACCTTGCATGAATATTCAATATCGAGAGCTGCTGTGATTTCGCAAGCCGCTACTCTTTATCGAAACTTTCTCGTCGCTCAACATCGTCATCGATAATCATCCGTGAAAGGAATTTCTTTCTTTCGCCATTCCATCGCGTCGTTTTTGGAAAGCTAATATATTTATTCCTCCTCCTCCTCCTCTCCTGTTGCTTATTTATTTGTTTATTAACTTTGCGTTTATTAATATTATTGGTTATTCTTCTTTATATCATCCGTTGTACATTAATTCCATACGAAAAATCAATACCTTTGATTTCCTTTTTGCCATTATTGAAGTTCTTGTATTACATTATATTGATGATAGAAGCAACTTTTTCGCTGGCTTATTACTTACCTATGATGGCTTGTTCCCTCAAAAGGGAAAATCGATATATATACAGATTTAATGATAATGCTTATTTATTCGTTGATTTGTTTATAATTTTCGATTGTTTTCATTATGTACTATATCTAGATTTGCATGCAAAATTGATAATTTTTTTTCTACTGTTGCGGCAAAATTCTCATTACGCGCGTGCAGGATTAATCGATTCGCTAACGAAACGTCGACCCAGTTTTTAAAGTTGTACGAACCGAGTGGATCGCGGTAAACTACGAATTGCCATTTCAATTGTCACTTTCGGGACGTTTAATTATTCGCACGATTGTCTCACTGTTTCTTTCTCTATCTTCCTTTATATATCTATTCTTCAAAAATTCATTACATTTCTTTACATCGATCGATGTCGCGTCTCTAAATCGAGTAATGATAGAATGCTGTATTGATTCGTTTTCCTGCTTTTCATATGTTAGCGTAATACGATTACTTCTTGCACACAGTGGCATAGCTAGAATTCAAAACCTCCACAATGTGAAACTTTATCGATTTTACCGTTGTTTGAACGAGAAATATCTATTTTGTACCTTTGAGGTAATCGTTACAACGTAAATTCTCGAAATAAAGTGACTAGAAAAAGCAAATACATCGCAATTAATGTATTATAATTAAATTAATATTATGTTATTTTATTACATAATAATAATAATAATAATAATGACAATGATAAAAATAAAGTTTAGTAAATCAGTTATATCAAGTCAAAACGTAATTTTGTATTTTACGTCAGAGAAAGAATTAAGAGAAGTTTTTACCTTTGAATAAAAGGCATAAACTTCCATTTGTATATTCGCACACGCGCGTCTGCAATAGAATTATTATTATCAAGCTTTGCTATTATTATTAAGCGACTCCTCGACACGAGGTAGTTTTCCCGTAACGTACGTACGCAAAAGCGAAAATTCGGCGGATTAATTCCCCGAGAACCTCAATCGTGCTCGATTGCCGGGAGCGGAAGGACATGTCAGCTGCAGCAGCCATCGCCGCTTTTGTATGCATGCTTGCGGAGGCTGTGCAACGGGGAAATTCGGGACCTGGTGTCGATCGTCCACAGTAGGTAGACCAGGAATTTATCCACACGCGCGCTCGCGCCTGCCGGCTGATATTAGCAACAACAATCGGCGATAACCGCGCCGATAAACGCGCTCGTTGAAACGACGTATGGTCGACGCGGTGTAACGAAACGCGTTTTCGATGAAACAATGCGGGACAAGCGAGCGAGGTGAGCTTTTTTCCTTTCTCTCTCTCTCTCTCTCTCTC